TACATGCTAAATAAACTCATCATTGTAAGCTCCATCTGAAAATTGACTGTGGTAAGTACTCAAGTGGCTCGCTCGATAATGAATTAATAGTATATATTTAATATTAAATAATTATATACAGTAGGCAGGCTAACTAAACCTTGATTAAAGAAATGTGAGAACCTATCATTAAGGTTTCTATGTAATTTTGATCAAACTTGCAGAGAACAAATACTTGATCCTAGATTGTATGCATACGGAATGTCAACTATAAATTATAATGTTAAAAATCTCACCATTTAAATTACTTAATCCAAAAGTGCTTTTGATTAAACTTGTTTAAGCCTTATGGAATAAATTCTTTTGATATACAGCTGATGAGTTTAGCAGAGAATGAAACAACTTTCTTGAATTTCATTACAAGCTACTGTTTAAAGAACAATCAACATGTAAATACAAAAGTATGAAGGAATTTAGTCAAGGCGTCGATATATCAATAAGATCTGATCACTAATTTAATTCTGAATGTCAACAACGAGCAAATATAAATCCGTTCACTCCATAGCAACGAATAATAATATTAGTTATTTTGTGTCACTGTCAATCAAATAAATTTCTAAATTATTATCACACTGTTCTTGTCTTTCATAATATCGGCACTAAATCTTATGTTACATTTTAAATCACGGATTGATTTTGGCCAGATAATCATTGAAACCAAGTAGCATTAGTCAACTGTTTCGTTCTCGTATGGATCTCTTCAACAGCATACATACAATATTCTACCATTTACTGAATCCAAAATCATTAGGTCATTCAGTAAACACTTTATTTTCAGGACAGTATGATGTCATTCTGTTACGTATACTACTAACTTAAATCAGTCAGCGGTATTGTTTAACCATCGTCCATTGTCATTGGTGATATCCATCAAACACCAACCATTAAGAAAAAGAAGGCACTGAATAGCTGTATGAATGTATAACTTCGAAGAAATTTAACAATTTGATGTTATAGTTATTCTAATATATAGTCATTAGCCTAAAAGGTATAAAATCTAAAGATAGACGACAGATGTAGTAATGAAGAAAGAAGAAAAGAAAAAAGACCCATCATTTCACGCATTTCTTTCTCTTTACAATTATACTTGCCTAGTTCTTTTATTCGTTTTACTAATTTAATAAGTTTTCGTTACAATTCTAATTTGAATAGAAACTTATCTAGATTGTTTATTTACTTGTATGTATTATGCTTTTTTTAATTTTCAAAGGACTTTTTTATCCTCATTCACATTTTTGTATTGTCTAGGTTTTTTTCTCGTCAAAAATATTAGAGAATGAATTCATAAACTCTAAGCAAAGATGAATAGTAGTTAGCAGTGGAATCTGGGATGCGCGTCTTGTCCTATGTGGGATTCGTCAGCTGGATGTACTTGCATATCAGAGTTGATGTTCACTCTGGGACTCGAACTCAGTACCGTTCACTTCAAACGTCATCGCGTTATCCGCTTAGCTACTGAGTCCTGATAGTCACTTGCTTGTACAATGGGGTGAATTTTAAATTCACTTGATATTATTTACTTGAATCTTCCGATTGTTGTTAAGGACTGCAATTGATCAGTCTCTTATTGGTATCTGTGCATACTGTGTGTATTGCCTTGTAGATCACCAACGTAGATGATCTATGTCGAAACGATTGGAGGCCTACTCGAGTTAGACGGGAATGGCGTGACGAACCAGCTAACGTCGGAGTCACAACTCGTGGTCAGCACCTCACATGGACTACCCCATTGCCATACCAAGGTACCATAGATGCTTTGAAGACTGTACAACACAGCGAACGTTATTACAATAATATATTAGTTAAAGTAGATACAAGCGAAAGTAAGACCACTGCTGCATGGGCCAGTCCATGGCGTACGATTAACTGATGCGCGTCGGTTGTCCTTGACCTTGACGAGGATCGATGAGTTGTTCGATAATCAATGACCCAACTGCCGGATGATTTGGCTAGGGCTCAGTTGAATTTCACTGGCCCTACAGCCTTAATTCACAAGCATTCTAAGCAAAGATGGATATATATATATATACTTTAAATAAATGAAAATGATTTTTTTTCTGGATAATCATCAAAAATGAACATAAGCAAATATGAATAATGATTAGTTAGAATGTCAGTTATAAAACTGATTATTTTGTTAATGTGTGGAAAAGTCAGAATGTGAAAGGGTATCTATCAATTACCAATAGATGTTATACAGGATGAGATTGATTACTACATAACTAAATTCTCCAGAAATTCAATGAAGACATAATTAATTTGTTTTGGGATGTTACTAGATGATGAAACTCTGAACAAATGGTAGACTAATAAAATTGAAGAAACATACTGCCTAATTCTAAACAATCCTGCATTTGGATTACCACCTCGATATCACTTGGGTTGAATTGAAAGATCTCACTGTCAGTGAAGTCCCACTTTTGTCTTATTAATTAAATGTTTCAACTGGCTTTCATCTGGTCACAATTTACACTGCTGTTTAAATAGGTTTCAAGTCTATGCATCTGATTATGAGGTAAACTAGATGGAAGAAACAACTCATATGTTCGCGTTATTAGGCTACAAAATTACCTTGTTCCGTTGACTTATTTGTCATTGTTTTGATAATTAACAAAGTTGATAGAAAGTCAGTAATACAATTAAACCTGGTATGATTTTTCATGGGATAAACTAATGTCATCTGAGTTCTTTGATATCACATTACTGAAAGTCAGTAAACCTTAAAAGTAAAAAAAATGATATACAAGCAATTGTTGTTTCTGTCATAGTCATCAGACTAGAGGTGTTTTCTTGAACGCTTTTATTTTGTTTTTATATAGATGACTGTCTGAACTGAAACTCATAACTTATACAATAAAATGTTGACTTGTTTTTTACTAAATGCATAAGTTTGATCTCGTTTGGCTCAGATGTCATGTACAGCATAAGTTTTTAAGATAATGAATATTTCTTAATTTTGACTAGTGCTTCAATTTGTTCTAACTATTGATAAGTTTAGTCTTGAATTTGAACGTTACATTATGAAACTTTGAACATAAAGTTGATTAACAAAAATTATTATTTTCCAGCTGAACATCTATTGTGAATATAATTCTCCAGTTAACTCCGAAATCAGGCCTAAAGATTTTCAATGCCCATGTCAGCCTACGTAATTCAATCACCATTTTTATAGAGAAATATTTTTTTGTAATAAGTATGTTAAGTTCAAATTATAATACATTTCATAACAGTACCGGAAGATTATGTCCTCCAGTGAATACTGGAAGGAAGTTTTATTCATTTTTTGTATTGGTTGGTTGAATCTTCCCACTGATGTTTAGGACTACGATTGATCAGTTTCTTATTGGCATATGTGCATTATGTATGGATTCGCTCGATATTATCCGGAGTAAACATCAACTGTTGGAATGCAGGTACACCGAGCTGACGTTTCTCAAATAAAACGAAATGTGAGTCCTGGATTTCACTGTTAGCCACCATCATATACGATAGTATGGAGGTTCTGTTACTAATTATTAGTTTAACCGGTAACAGGTGATCTGTATCGCCCAATCAAAATTATTAAGCAAAGTGGAATATTTTTAACTTAGGCGAATCAAATTTTTAAGTACTGCATTATAATAGTGCTCAGGAAGAAAATGAACCACTGGCAAATAAAATACTGAGCTCAGAGAGAATATAACTAACTAAAAATGAAGCATACCAATGTAATTATTTATTCTACTGAGATATTCGTAATTAATTCAATCATATGCACAAGATATACAGTGAACGAGAACACAAGTGAGGACAATCGAATGTATTTGAACACAAAATTATAGAACAACTTAGTGAAATCTGAGAACCATACATTAAATACATCATTTGCAAAATGTCAATCAGTCGTTTCAGACTCTATTATTCCTTCGTTTCTACATAAATCATTCTCTGTTCTTGTTTAGTTTTCTTCGATCTTCTAAACCTTCTGGTGCTAGGTATTTTACTTTCGATTGATGAAACATACTACTTATATATGTCGACATCAGTAGGACACATCACAAACATAGTTATATCATCTAATCCTTCGTTAAAATGTCATTCTGTTACTGAATAGACATTCGATTATACTTATTCTTGTAGTGTCGGTTATTATGTTAAGCCCATATACCTTACTGTAGGTTTCGGACAGCCCATTCTATTCATTCTACTTGAGTCACATTCTGACCTTGTTATTTACTCGTTTATCAATCTTGACTGTTTTTATATGAGTGCGTAGGTGCGTGTACATTTCTTATCCCATTACTCATCACATGTCTGTAACTTGCTTTTGTGTAACTATAAATATTGATTAAAGCTTGGTTAAATGGGAGTTGGCTTACCAGCCATCTCCACTGTGTGTCGTTTCACTTCTCTTTATTCCATTCGCTTTATATACAAAATATATGTACTCACAATTCCATTCTTTTTATTCGACTTATTCAATTCCGTTATTGACTAACGCTATTTAAGTCGATGATTATAAACGAGGATAGGCAACATATATATTTCAACAACAATCATCATTACGATCTATTTGGAGTCAGATCTCGGGCTACCAAAGTGGACAACCCTTTCGACAACATCATTCGATCTAAATGACGACAAAATAAAGGACCCCACATTCTATTACTGTTGATAATTTGGTTAACAAAATAAGTTATTGTATAAAGAATAGGTGACAGCACTAAGGCAAATACATGACTCATATTCTTCAATTTAGTTTATTGATCTATTGATTTCACAAATAATGTACACATACATTAGATTATTGATTAATTATCGATTCAATTTATTCAAATTTTTACTTATTGATGGAACATTTAAAATGTTATGTAAATTATAATGATTATTGATGTTGTATTGATTAGTGATTGATGAATAAATCCGTCCACTATTTACAGTCTTATTTTATTCTTTGTATACCAGTCAAGTAGTCTAGTTTCTTTTCATTGAATAGTAGGTAACAGTTATTCTTCAATTATGGTTAACATTGATACCAGTAGTAATTCAAGTCACAATATTAATATATCAATCTTGTTTAAATATATATCCATTAGTTGGAACATTCATAAATGAAAGAAAAATTAAAATCATTGTAATAAAAGAATATAGCATATTCAACAACAAACGATATTGGACATAGAATATCTATAAAATCTTCGAAATAAAAAAAGAAACTCAACTTCATTGAGTATTTATCCATTGTTCATAAACAATTTACTGTTGGAAATGATTCTCGAAATTTCAATTGAGAATTTATGGAGAACCTGTGAAATCACTCAAATCCGGATTAAGAATGTATAATAATTTCATTTCATAAAAGTCTAGAATAGACTGCAATATGTTTCATAAAAGACTTTGATATCCATAGTTTTATTAGAGAAAAAAGTAATTTAATAGTTGAGATCATGAGCCAATTGAAGTTAGACCATCATTAAAAACCTTGAAGCACTGGACGGCCGTTTTTTTCCTATTATAAGACTCCTCAGCAGTGTGTATTCACGATCTCGCCCCACGAGATTCGAACCCAGGACCTATTGATCTCACATATGAACGCTTAACCTCTAAACCAATTGAGTTAATGTTTAATTTCAACTGATTCGCGAAATCGACCCACACGTTTAGTGTTATATTGATCTTGATAATTTATTAACAATGATCAGCGGATCATAGAAATCAATTTTCAACGCATATATAAAATACAATTCTTTGTTTCTCATTTGTTAATCATTCTAAACTATCTTTGATACATTTTACAAAATTTCTAGCATAAAAATTTACAATGTAGTTACAACAAATTTGTATTTGATTATAGAAATGAATAAGTTTCAATCCTGTACAACCAATTTGTACGCAAGTTAATTTGATTGGCACATTATATTACATATTAATAAATAAATAGAATTTATTATCTATGCATATTGTTACATTTATTTAGATTTACCTGTTTAAGTCTCTCTTTCTCTCTAGTTTTCTTTAGGGTAATACAATGAAATTGGAGATCATTTCCTAATTTATTCCAAGTAACTTCTACTGTTTGTTGTTGCTGTTCAAGTTGTTCTTTTAGTTTTATTCACTAATTAGATAAAGTTTATCAATATTTGTATCATAGAGTATCTATACAATTTAATTTATGTTTGTATGTGTTAAAAAAAAGGGGGAGAGTGAAGTGAAGTGATTAATTTTTGTTACAAACAGTTATTCAATCTGTACGTACATATCGACAAAAATTTAAAAACAAGTTGATTATCTTAAACCCCTTTATATTCTAAGCTTTTTCTTTTCCTTGTCACATATATGTAGTACTGCGTTGTTTTTGTGTATTTTTTTTGTTATGTGTAGTAGGCTGGTTGTTTTATCTATCGTCCGTTTGTCATACGTAGGTATAGACACGTGCTATAAAAGTTTCTATCCATACAAAGATAAGGAAGGCTAAAATGCATGTCACTAATATGTTCAATGCGTGAAAGGGGGGATATATATATCTATATAAAGGATAGAAAAACAAATACATTGGTTATTATATATATGTATACGAGTGTTTATGGCTAAATCTGTGAGCAATTGAAGTGAATATGAAATGCAGTAATATAGATAATTTATTGAGATCTATACATTCGAAACAAATCGTTATAAATTCTTACAATGTAATTGTTTCAATCATATCTATACACCACCATCACTTATCAATATATGCTTTCTGTTAGTTAAGAAATTCACATTAACAAAACTACATAATTCCGTTAATTGTATCTGATGTTTTCACGTTAGTTGGCGGCAGACGTCAAAATCACTGAGATACAATTATTTCTTCTTTTTTTATTATTAGAAAAAAGACGAAGAGTAGCAATTTGTTGCACAATGAATGATTACATTTATGCGTTACCTGTTACCCAACCATTTAAAAATATTAATAATAATAATTGTTATTCGACTGCATTTACAACAACTATTGAGACTACTACTACTAATACTAATACTACTGGAACAATAACAGTCAATAAAAACATATTTTGTGATGATGTATCAAATGATCAGAAAGATTATTGTTATAGTTATATAACGGAACCACAACAGTTTGAATCAATACCTTTATCATTGTTCAATGTACAAAAGCAAAATGATTCAATTGTCAGTGATGAATATTATGTATCTGATGGAAATTTACTAAATAATAATAATAATAATAATAATAATAATAATAATAATAATCTCATTATTAATAATCATAGTAATACATCACTTAATTGTTATAATATTTTGCCAACACAATCATATCCTTTTTATCCAGTAAAGTATAATGAATTGACTAAGAATGTGTATAATTCAACGCAAACGAATTATTTTAATAAGAATGATTTAGATGTTCAAACACAAACAAATTATATTAATGATAACGTTGATCATAATACTACTAATATTACTACTACTACTACTACTAATAATAATAATAATAATAATAATAATAATAATTCTATACAGTTACCAACCAATAATACTTATGAATACCATCAACAGATAACTCCTACAAATGAACATTTTTATACTTCAAATCTTCTAGATAAATTTATAACAAAAAATGATTGGAATCAACAAACAATGATTACAGAATCATCGAATATAATAAAATGTAAAACACAAAATTCTCTTTATCATTCATCATATGAATTATGTAATAATCAACTATTAAAAAATTATTCTAAAAATTCAACAGAATTTATTTGCTTGAATGAGTAAGTTTAAGGATTTTTCTAAAAAAAATTATTTATTCCACATTGAAAAATCACTGTTTCAATTGCTATCACATCATCCCAATCGTTGTTTTTACCTTGATGTGGTGGTCGTTCCTCAAGGTCCTACCATGCCAGACAGGTTGGCTGGAGAGCGTTAAGACTGAAATAAGCAAACACAAGGTCCGAGGGTGAAGTCGTACTGCTGACTGTACAGGAGAGTGATGGTAGTAAGGTGTTTCCTTCAGGCAACCAGCATAGTAGCGATGCTGCCTTCCCACAAGGAGGGGTGAGGTTAGAAAAGGTTGACCCTAAACATGCACACCTCGCATTATCCCACGGATATCCGTCTCCGGCGGTAAGGTCTCAACAAGTACGCAGCTAACACAAAAAATTACTCACAAGAAGGTCGTGTGTGACCGCCCTCAAGCAGTTGTCACATGGGCGCTGTAGTCATGCACTGAGGTCACTAAGGTCACTTCTAATCCAATTTCCTTTTCAGATACCTCCAGAAGAACTCCTTCAACGGTGTGGGCAACCGGGAAGTGATAACCGACCTCATACCTCAAACAGCATTCAAAACCTATCACATCAACTATTTTTAGAACACAGCTGAATGAACGTTTTAAGTTTTTTAATAACTAGATTTCAATTTTGTTTTTATGAAAGTAATGCATTCTATTGTTTCATATATGAGTTCAGTAGTAGAATAAGATCATTGTTATATATGTGTAACTAAACTTGGTATTTATTAAAGTTCCCCAAAATTACAGCACAAATGGATTTCAAACACTGAAGATAACATTAGAAAATATATAACATTGAAATATTTTTTTCACATTATGAAATCAAGTGTCATACTTTAAAGAAAATATGTATCGGTATTCAGTAGCTAAATGGACAACACGATGGTGTTTGTAGCTAACAGTACTGGGTTCAAGTCCCAGAGTGAAAATCAACTCTGGGATGTAGGTACATTCAGCTGACGACTCCCAGATAGGACGGAACGCGCATCCTAGATTCCACAGCTAGCCACTATCCATCTTTGCTTATAAAGCTTGTGATTTAAGGCAATATCAAGGCAATCCGCTTGGTTTGCACATATGCCAATAAGAGAATGATCAATTGCAGTCCTGAACAACAATAGGAAGATACAAGCAAACAACACCATATGAATTTAAAGAAAATAGTTATGAATGTAATAACTCTTAGCTATATGGTCAATGAGTAAAATTATCCATTTTTAAAGTCTAAATAAACTCGAAGTTAATGTTACCATTCACATCATGTAAAGGTTATTTATTTCACAGATTATAACAACATAGTGTGGTATAAATCTTGCTTTAAACATGATCCTATTAATGAAAAGTAATATCAAAACATTTATTGAAATAGATATTGAATTACCTTTTCATTATAAAAGATTTGAGAAACAAACAACAATTTATTTATGCAATGCTACTGGTGAAAACTGCTTCATCTACGACATGTCTAAACTTTATCAGTCACGATTTTTCACTTTAACTTCAAAAATACCTTTCTGACTACTTTTAAATATGATTCCCTTTATTAATTATAATGGAATAACATAAATTGTAAAATCAGTCCTTACTTGTATTCTAAGGTGTAAGATATACAGGTAACCTAGTTTCTAACATTGCAAAGTTAAAATGATTAAGGTTAAACTATGTATTATAAAAGTGAATCATTGTAAATCTGTTACAAATAAAGTTATACAATTCGAAAATAACACCATCTAGAGAACGTTGAGATCTTTTAAACTTTATTCTCAACTATCTAACCGTTTACGTTAGATACATTTTAGTGGCCCAGTATCTAACTCCAGTTAGATCGTTTCTGATTGGTATTGAAATATACATGTCGCCAATCCTCGTATATAATTATCGACTTAACTCGCGTTAGTAAATAACGGAGTTATAACATATTTTATATGTTCTGTGCAATCGTTGATCAAAACAGACAATCAAGGATGGAGTAAGGAAGCAAAACGGCTTAGAGAAGACGTGTTAGCCAACTCGATTTACGCAAGCGTGAATCGACATTTATAGTCAAACAAAAATAAGTCACAGATGCATAATTAGTAGGGTGAATAATCAGCGCACATACAACCGTATAAAATAACAGTCAGGGTTAACAAGCGAATAAGTGATAGGATAAAAATGTGGCTTGAGTAGAATGAATAGATGGTCTGTCCAGAGGTTAGAATAACCTATGAGTGCTTGACATAGTACCAGCCCCTACAGAAAATGTACATAATTTGAATAGTTTTTTGAAAATCTTTTGTCTTACTTAAATATTTCTAGCTTCCAAATAATCAGATAAATAATTGCTTTTGGACAGGAATAATCATTTACAACGTCAACGATTACCCCATTTAACCTCTGATCTGGATTGTCCCATTTCTGATCTAAGTGACTATTCTATAATATCAAAAAATGATGAAGTAAACACTTTACAAACGAAATCCACTTATCCATTACGAACGGAAGTCAACAGAAGACGTAAATCCTCCAATCATATAGCACTTGAAAAATCTATGAGTTTATTCCACGATCAACACTCATCTTTATCCAAATATCATCATACGCTTAAAACAAATAGACCAACACACAAGTTTATTTATCATTCTACTAACAATTATAATGCTAATGATAATTATCCTACTTGCAATAATGTTACTCATTTAAAATCTTTACAAAATAAACACATTACTACTGATAATAACTGTTGTCATACATATGATTCATTTATACATAATGAAAATTTATTAGAATCATTTAACAATGAAAATAGTTCAAAAGTAAAGAATCAAACAATCATACCATCATCTTCTTCTTCATCTAATAGTATTCTATCCCGTTCACCATATAAATGTCGTAAGTGTAAAGGGCATGGTATGTCTGAACCAGTTAGACAACATAAACGTAATTGTCCATATCGTGATTGTACATGTGATATGTGTTATCTAGTTGAAAAAGGTCGTCGTATAGTAGCTCAACAAATTGCATTATTTCGTGATCAAAAAAATCATAATATTCAAAAATTATCACATCAAAAAGATCGTTCTATAAAGAATATAATAATTAAAGAATCATTAAATAAAATAAATGAAGATAATGGACCACATTGTCGTCGATGTCGTAATCATGGACAAAATATTTCATGGAAAGGTCATAAAAAAACATGTCCTTATAGAGAATGTTATTGTAATCAGTGTATTTTAATATCATTACGTAAATCAAATGAAAAAGACCTAAGTAAGTTGATATAATACATTTGTATACTTAATTATTTTATGAGATATTAGTAATTCATATGAGTAGTACATATAGTCACCCTATTAAATCTAGAATATTCTTTTATAAAGTTTGGTCAATTCAAAACCATTGGTCAATTTGAAGCAAAGAACATATCAAGGGTTGAATGCTACGGTTGAATATCTGGGATACTTGTTCGTGCCATCTAGATATTTCAACAAGTTATCTGTTTTCTTGTTTGTTTAAACACATCATTACGTCTATTGAGCGCTTAACCTATTCAGGCGCGCTTATGAAAAGTCTACGACATTTCGCTGCACAGGTACAAGCAGAGACATCATGGTGGCTGGCAATATGCATTGAAACGAACGAACATTATTCAGATGTCGATTCTCGAACTGCTAACAAATAACTGGCGATAACTCTATATTTATTGTCAGGATCAATCAAGAAATAAGAAAAGGAAACTTGTTGAAATACTTTGTGCTGAAAATTCCATATTGTACAAAAAATATAACATTGAACAAAGCTAATAATAATCGTAATAATTCTACAATCTTCTGGTTACAATTACCGAATATTTTCTAGTTCTGTCTGAAATCAGTCTTATAGTTTTCGAATTATTCAAATTCCCGTGAGACTATAATTTATGGACGACTGTTGAGCGACGCTAAAGTGACCTTGAGAGTGTCCACCTAATAACCAGGACCAAATCAGGGTTATAAACCAGTGTGAGGAATTGGAATTATGATTCACATTTGATGGTTATGGTTGGGAATTAGATTTAGGGTTTTCATCACGAAGTGACATAAGCTATAATTCCAACACTATTTATCCAAATAGATGAGTGAATTTCGCCCCAAAATCCGAGACCTGTTATTTTATACCTGATCGGTTCGTTCATAAACTATAATTTCGCCCAAATTCCTTACAGATAAATAATGTACATAACTTTGGTTATATTTGTTGATTAACTAAGATAATCTATTTGGCATCTAGATACTTCATTCTTTCTTCATTATAAATATTCTGAATAATGATATAGATGTTAGTGAAATACTAGATATTAAACCGTTATATACTTTTCAAAGTACTATACCTAATAGCTCTCAAATCTTTTTGGTTAGATTGATGTGAAAATAAACTCAAATAATTCTTAGACTATTCATTCTAAAGATCTTTATATGATTCCCATATATATATGTATACGGGATTCTAACCCAGGATATATCGGTCTCGCGCATGAACACTTAACCTCTAGACCACTGAGTCGGCATCCAATTGTGGTAATGTCTAACTTCAACCAATCTCTATTAGGTGATGAATTTAATAATGATATAACATTACCAGATAAAATATGAACTATCCTACATATTTAGATGAATTTTATCACAGACTGATATGCTAGAAAAGCATTAACAATCAGGAAGTATTAGAAGACTGTTTTATTCTAGGATTGGAACTTGTTATCAATGTAATGACAAATTTTTATTCCAAAGACAATTTCCATTACTGATTAATATCAATTAGAAAATAATTGAAAACGAGAAAGCTATATACAATTGTATCACCATATTCCGATATATTTCATCAATGTAGATCTGTAACCAGTAACTTTTATTATCTGTATATCATAAATGTAGATTAAGACAACCAAATAAACAATTTATTTCAGTTCATATTGCTAACTCAATTCAAATTAATGTGCTTGAATGGACCAGTTATATGTTTCCTAATATTTATGATAGTTATTATAAATCTAATCTCTATTTATACTACAGAAGTATGGGAATAATTGTTAGGAAACAATAAGAGTACGTGAATTCTGTATTTTCAATCAGTTACTATTTCAATATTTGTAATTGTACATTGAATGCATCGACAATTCTAATTGTAGTGCGCATCCACGATCCCGCACCCCGCGAGATTCGAACCCAGGACTTATCAGTCTCGCGCCAGGCGCTTAACCAATTAGACCACTGAGTAGTCCCATACTAGGACGAAACGGCCGTCCAGTGCTTCCAAATTTTCCATGGTGGTCTAGCTTCAATTGACTCATGATCTCAGTTTGTGAAATTTCTAAAATCTCCACAAACCCCTTCTGATAATTCTAATTGTTTCATTATTATAGTACTCTGACCAAATCTGCAATATACAGTCTTTTTTAATATGCTGTCTAAGCATATATATATATATATATATATATATATATATATATAATATATATATATATATATATATATATATATATAATTAGGTAACATGAGTTCAAATCTCACGGTTTCCAAGATTCCTAATAAGTCTTGATGATGAATGTTAAATGATATGAAATTAAGATTAATAGATTCCTGCCGGTTACCTTCAATCATTCTAATATCCTTGTTCGATTATATTATTATTCCAAAAAAGCTAGATTTGACTTTTAATTACTCTTGCCTGGCTCTTTTGCACGAATTCATCGAGTATAAAATAACATTTATTAACTATTATGATTGTTTTCATAAACTTCACTATAAAATTGACCTTAATTTATACACGCTTTATTATCTGCATTGAAGACCTCAATAATAATGATAAAATCAAGATTTCGCTAGTAAAATAAACCAATTTGACAATAAAATAAAGGCTTGAGACACTACTCTAATTATTGACAGAAACATTGGAAATATAAAGCGTAGAACTAGAAAATGTATACATTTATAGGCTGTACTCGTTACAGATTGATCTCAGTTGGGGTATCATAGAAAACCAGGGAGCGTTGGACAAGTGTTTTGTTCTAATATAGGATTCCTCAGGGGCCCATACTCGCGAACCCAACTTTCGGTCTTGTAGCGAACCATCAGCTATCAGGACTACTGGGTTGCGTTCGAATGTTATGATTTCAACTTCCCACGTACTTAACGCTCTCATCTAAAAATGAGTAATTCACATGAATTTTGTTTTCATTACCGAGCTGACATCAAGAGAGAAGAACCAGTGAGAACCAGTTGAAATCGACTTTTTTAATTGAATGTTGTCCACAAGTACTCTATGTTACCAATAATTGTGGATGAACTTGCTTTAGGATGGATTCTTCATGTTCCATTGATGTCTTGACTGCCAAAGTCCTACTAGTTCTGGAGTAAAGTAGCTGTTGACAGTAGGCGGTCATTGTGATGTATCGTAAATTGTCTGACTTTTAAAGTTTGAACTACAAGGTTTCAACTAAACAGTTTAAAGGTTTTATGTGCATAGAAATGATGGGTCTCTTTTATTCGATCTCGAATCAGACAGATGTTTAATGCCAACACTTCCGCTCAAAACTAACTTCAAAATAAATCCGTCATTCGTTTAATCTAATCGGAATATTAAGATAAAGCTTTGACAGAAATGAAATAAATTCGATCATAAAAGTAAGAGTAAAATAAGTAAATTCTAAAAGAAATTAAATTAAATAATTTACAGGACACTTAGGTGAAAACCACACTCTAAGTGTAAGAGTTAACGATAATCAGTTGCTCAAATTGAAATAGGTGAAGTGGGGGTTCAAAACTGGTAATTGAAAGTTGAAACTTGAATCCGTTAACCCTCTAGGCCATCACTCCATCAATAAGTAAATAAGCTTCTTTAGTTGAATACAAATAATGTATGTATTCTGAACTCAACAAAACTGTTTTTAGATTTTTTTGATACATGTATTGTCCCGAAATTAATCCCGTTTGACTAATTAGCTTTCAATCTTTTCACTTACATATTCGTTTGTTTATAATTGAGGAGAAGTAACACAAGAATTTATTGATAATCAACCAGGGAATGGAGAAAAGAAAACATCAACAAAGAATATTTCGGCGAATTATGAAACAAATACGTGTAACTTTAATGAAAAATGTCACATTATTAATTCAAACTTCAATTCAACCACTTCAGAAGACTATAATCACAATGCTGCATATAATCCATACTCTAATAATGATCCAGTCTCTTCTTTCGGTGAAACTTGTGAAACTCATGATTCATTTTATCCACCTTTAGTAAATAAAACGTGTGTAAATTCATTGATTCATCACTTAGTCACTTCTTCTATTACTACAAATTTGGATCCATTCTGTACAACACATATCAGTAAGTGTGAAAATAAACAAACTTATTGCTCTTCTACTACATCTTCACATTTAAAGTCCATAGAAAATTCTAGTCATGAACCTTTGACCTATCGAGAACCATTCAACAACATTACAAAACCATTTAATGTTTCAGAAAATACAAGTTTTTTTTAATGTTGATAAGCATGAATTCAATTCACAAAAGATACTCAACAAAACAGATTCTGTTTTTCAAAATAATCACAATTATTTTACATCATTTGATTGTCCTAATTCAACAGTTTCAACAAATAAAATTCATGAATCAGATCATCATACAAATCAATTGCTTGAATTTAATTCAACACAAACATTTTGTCATTCAAATATGAATACTGGATCATCATTAATGAGAACAAAATACAATGAAATTGTTAATTCAAACAATCCATTTAAGACAAATTATTTAGATGATATTGAAGTTCACAGTACAAATAATAATTCAGAACCATTTTCAAGTAATCAATCAATTGAAATAAACAAATCTATGTTAGAAACTAAATACCATGGAAGTTATGTAACAGATTGTTCCTTAAATAATAATTCTCGAAATTTTATCGATTATGTCAACTCAAGTAATGATCATTTTAAGAATTTGGATCAACAGTTAAGAACATATTATTCATATCCATCACAAGTGAATAAAGAATACACAAATAATAACTTTTATCATTTACAGGGATATCAAAAATCAAATCCTAGTTCATTAGTATCATCTTCTCTTAAAAATACAATTACAGACTATATATGTCATTCAGAAGAGAAAAATACAACATGTCCTACAGATTATTTACCACATTCAGTAAATCTTAATGAAGAGAAACTTATTCGACCAACAACAAATCATACCGCTGCTTTAGCTGCTGCTGCTGCAGCAGCAGCTGTTGCATTTCATCATGAAGTGGTCACTCAACAAAAACATCAAGAAGAATATACTCAACATATTGATGATATGAAACAAGTATGTAGGCAATCAGATATTCATTTAGAACAACAAAACCTATTCAGCACTACTACTACTACTACGACTACTAATGATACTATCAGTAATATGAATAACACTAATAATATAAATTCTATCAAAGAAGGATTAAATATTGTACAAGAATCAATAAATACACCATTCACTTTTTTAAATATGTCTAATATTTTAAATGATAATTATGATTATGATAAACAAAATTATTCAAATGATCATTTATTGATTACATCACCTTTATTAAAATCATTTCAAACAAATTATACACAAAAAATAATCAAATCAAATGAACAATCATTAAATTCATTATCTAATATAAATATAAGAAATAATTTAATCAATAAACAATATAATTCTAATCTTGATATTTTAACTAATTATCCATTGAATTCAAATAAACAACCACAACCACCACCACCACCACCACCACAACAACAACAATCACCATCACAACAACAACAATATTTGACTAAAGATACATTTAATATACATAAATATGATACATTAACAAATAATATGAATATAAAACAATTATCTACTATAAAATATGATAATATCACTGATTTAATTCAACATAATTCTAATGTAAAATTTAATCAAGAAATTAATAAATTACAAATTATACATTTAACAAATGCAATCATTTTACCATCAAAAACAATCATCATTAAAACAATTACCATATGAATATGATAATAAACAAATGAAATGGTCAACAATTTATCCAAATATTCAATCGAATACAATAAAACAAGAACGAAGTAATAACAATAATAATAGTAACAGTAATAATAATGATACATGGAATTCACTACCGAATGAATGTAATAATCTTTTAAAAAATTTCGAAGTATCAACTACTGTATTTAAACAGATAGGATTATAAGTATCAATAATCATTTAAATATGGCATAATAATTATTTTAATAAATAGTAAGTTCAATTTATAATAAATTATTGTTCAATAGTTAAAATGTTGAGTTTTCTAAGTTGAATAGTTTTAATTGTAAAGATTTCATGATCTTCCTAAATAGCATTATTCATAACATCAAAAGTTATTCGAATAAATCATCAAGTTGAGAGATCATAACATTATTTTGAAAAAAAAATATGATTGATTCGACCTTAGTACAACCAAGGTTGAAGAGAGTCAGCTGTCCCCCTCGAAATGTCGTCATATGGCCTTGTGTATACAGTCAATGACAGGGAAGTCCTACTCACTATCTTCTCGCGGCATTAATGATGTTTACGAGATTGAGAGGATAAAAAGCGAATATCCGGTGCTTTAACTGGGTTGGTGAATATGAAGGATCCATCTAGGAGAGTTGGAAAACCCTGATTCCAAACTAATGGTTTATATGGGCTTCAGGATCCTGAGGGAAAAAATGGCGTATGAACCTATTCTTGGTCACTGGATACCATGGGACTACATCCGATGTTGCTCCACCGCCTTGTGGATCAGACCTTTAGGTCGAAGGCTCCGTGTGTGGTCTCCTAAAAAAACCACTTGCCTCGGTTTGGGCACTTGGGCAGTATCATCGCCCACACACAAATCAAGTGACTTGTGTGGTGGATATGTATTCAGCGCCTCCTTGTACCAATATGTGTCTGAATGAACAAATAAATGTATCATTTATTTCAATGATCTAGTAGATCAAAACAACGGTTTACTTATGTAATTATGCGTACGTTTTTAAAATTTGGCTAGAATAAAAGTTATAATATCAGTAAGAAATAATATTATCAGAACGGGGTTTGTGGAGATTTTTGTCATTTTAATAGTTTAATTCATGAGTTGATGTAAGATAGATCACCGTTGAAAATCTGGAAGCACTGGACGACCGTTTCGTCCTTAGCAGCACTCATCCGCGATCACGCCCTCGGAGCTCGAACCTAGGACCTGTCGGTCGCGCACGAGAATGCTTAACCTCCAGACCACTGAGCTGGCATCCAATTGTGTTAATGTCTAACTTCAGTCAGGGGGTTAGTCGTTCACGTGCAAGAGCGAAGGTTCTGGGTTGGAATCCCACGTGCAAGATCATGGATACTCACTATTGAAAAATCCCACACTAGGACGAAACGGCCTTCCAATGCTTCCAGGTTTTTCATGGTGGTCTACCTCTAATCGACTCATGAACTCAACTATTAAATTACTACAACCTCTACAAAATCCCCTTCTGATATCTTAGTGAGTTAAAATTTCCGAACATTTATATGATCGAATCCATAAGTGGATTGTGATGACACTTTTTTCGAGCATCTGGTCCATTTCTTGTCTTCATTCAGGTTTTTTCCTAAGGATTTATTGATTATCTAAGTAAATTTAGACATCACTCTTATTGATAACAACTTGGATGTTCTAACTATTTGCAATTACTAGTTCATCTAGTTTGCAAACGGAAAAAAGACTCTGACCAAAGACCAATAAGCTAGCTATTCTGATGCTTCCCAGCCCCGCTAACTAGAGAGAAAGAAGTTCAAGTTTGAAACGGGGAAATATGCTCCGCAAGCAACCAGGAGCACGAGCAATCACGACCCTGTCTAGTCGGAAACACACTCATTTATGTATTGACTCATACACCCACTTTTGATTAACAATCAGAATAAATCACATATATGAAAAATAATTCATACAAGAATGTCGTATGTTATACAGAATAAAATGTCATAGGGGTAAAGGAAACAAATACCATACTGAGTGATCATCAAATTGAATCAAACGGAATTAATTTTGAGTAAAAAGCATAATGAGTAAATCAACCTAATTTTGACCTTTCATCCCATCATAACACTATTAAGCCACTATTTCACATATCATAGTCTACTACACTTTAATTGCGTTGATATGTACTATTGAAGAGAACCAAGTAATACATAAAACAGAGTATGTACATTTTATCCAAATATCTTTATATAACATAACCCTTCATCTCTCTGTCTTTTCATTAAGGTTTAGATCTTTATAATTCAATGTAATTAGAATATGACTGCTATTATACAAGGGCTAAGGAACCTTGGTTCTATGTAATTTGATGGTAATTAGTATAATACGTATGAATACATACAATACAATTATTTCTGATTCCATGATACGAATTACTATGTTCTTTCAATAATATCGATGTCTGTAAAATTTTACTTAGAAAAAATTGCTTTTGAAATAGCAGGATGAACTGATCTATAGTACTAAATACTAGTCAAAATGTATAAGTTTATTCCAGCATGTAGATAATCTGTTGTAAATGGAATTTTGAACAAAAGCATAGATACGAGAATATGGAAAAGAGAAAGACAAGGGAAAACATAGACCGACACCAAATAAACAAACAGTATACATATTTACATCGTAAAATCAATCGTAAATAATTAATAATTAACAAACAGTAATTCAATACAGTCAGGTTACTAAGACTAACAATAAATAGCGAAGTTACAATAGCATCATGACTACACTATTTAGAATCTTAGAAAAAAGATATCAACAACATCCTGAAACCAAAATGAAACATCACCATATCATGAAACAATTAGGTCAGCGGCTGTTTATTACTTCTTGATCAAGATTATTTGACCAGCATTTAGGACAAAAATATGACACCTGTTATCATTATTATTATTTTCGCCTTTACCAGTAGTATTAGTATTATCCAGTCATAGAAACAAGACTTGGCTCTCATAAAACTATGTGAATCAGTTACAGTCCCATGTCAACAAAAGTATACATGGCACACCACCATTAAAAGTAAGCAACAAAAAAAAACAAGTTAACATACAGAAACACAACATTGTTACTAATTAATCTTTTAAACATATATCAGTAAAATCATTACAAAATATACATTACACCAAAACAATAAGATTTCATTTACCGACAAGGTAACTAACTAGTTAACTAATTATTTGTCTTTTTTTCTGCAGTAGAATTAATTATTTAGTTTGTACACAACACCAAAATCATTCCATCACAAGTAACCAATTAACAACGAAATATGTTATTATTAGAAGTTATATATCTTTTTAAAGTCTTACACTATTTGTATATGATGTTCATTGTCTTTCATGTTTTATATTCACTTGTATTTACTACCATGTATATTTATTCGTTGGATTGATGAAAAAATTTGAGTTCATTAGGTCGAATTACGAAAAATGAAAAATAAAAAACAAAAAAATTAGTTATTTCAATAGTTGAGATCATGAAGCTAGATCACCATGGCAAACCTGGAAGCACTGGACGGCCGTTCGTCCTAGTATGAGACTCCTCAGCAGTGCGCATCCACAATCCCGCACTCGCGAGATTCGAACCCAGGACCTACTGTTATTGTAATGTTTTGTCCTAGGAAAAGTACAAAACATTTCAGTAATAAGATTATTATATAATACCGTTAAAGCATTCAACTTGGACTGTTAAGATTACACAGAGAATATGCAACTGAAATGGATCTTTTCGATAGTGTAGTGTTATTATTATTTTTTAAGCTAGATAACTTAACTATGGTGTTTTTATGATCATTCTAGTCAACATCTTCAATGTCTACTTCACTTGTACATGAAATGTGTACTAAAGGTGTTATTGAAAATGATATCGAAGACTCTACAATTAAATTATCGAGCTCAGAAAGCATAACATCACCATAAGTATTCAAATCTCCAGATCAAATTGCAGAATTTGAATTCTGACGTACATTTTATACCTATTATTGAATAATAATAAAACCTTCAGACGATCAATATTGATCTGAAATGCGTTCACAATCTACCAACAGTTATATCTTTTGTAGATTTTAGTAAATCTGAAGGGTATTGTCTTGATTTGATATATTCATTGTAATAAATTTGATCGCTATTTTAGAGTATCTATTTATAACTGATGAATATAAAACTTCTTTCATTGTAGCAATCGACTGAATATAATTTTCAATTACTACTTCGGTGGATCTTTTATTCTGTTCGTTATCATATGAATGTATATAGAGAGGAACTATAGATTTTATACGGTTTATAGTTTTTTTTTATACTGTAGAATCACTTTCACAGATTCGAACTGAAGCCGTAGAAGAGTGTATATGAAAGCGAATATTCTATCAAGCAAAATAAAGCATCATTACGATAGGCTCTGTAAAGTATTCTTCAGTTCTGAAGAAATAAATCTATCAGAATATCCTGGATGATCCCATATAGTGTAAGAATGGTTAGTCATAACTTAACAATTTAATGCTGACATTCTTCTGTTTCGTCAACATAGTATGTGACAGATTGAGGTGCTTATCATAAGCTCTTCAAACATTTTTCAAGTTTTGTCTTGATAAGACTCCTTATAATCAAGTGTGAGACCATGTAAATTTCTTAACAGCCCATTGTAGGAGGCATTGTTCATTATGGAACTAGTCAGTTTTATTATTACATTTAAATTTAAGTTTCCCTGTACTCTAAAGATATGTAGACTTTGCTGAGAGCGCATCATTTAACAAAGAGTTGGGAAATGTCTGAAAAAGTAGTCTGATGTTCTATTAACATTGACATAAAACGGCCAACTTCTACTACGGAACTTATCTGTTGTACTGTGTACTGATGCTCTAGATAGAAGTTTCGGTGAGACTATAATTTATGGACGACTGTTGAGTGACGCTAAAGTGACCTTGAGAGTGTCCACCTAATAACTAGGATCAAATCAGGGTTATAAACCAGTGTGAGGAATAGGAACTATGATTCACATTTGATGGTTGTGGTTAGGAATTACATTTATGGTTTTCATCACGAAGTGATATCAGCTATAATTCCAAAACTCTATTTATCCAAATAGATGAGGGAATTTTGCCCCAAAATCGGAGACCTGTTATCTTATACCTGATTGGTTCGTCCATTAATTCGCCTCTCCATAGTTTCATCTTGTGACTTGTAGTTTGATTGGAAATTTAATCTATAACTTTAGT